GGCTGCGGGGGTACCGCGCCGCTGGCGCGCCGAGTGTTTCTGGAGAGAAACGCCAGCTCTCGGGCGTTACTTGCGTTTCCAAACGTGCCTTTTCTGGTGAAAGCCACGTTGTTTTTAAGGCTACTCGGTTTTCAGGAGGAGTGTTTGTTACTGACCAGCTGAAACAACTGGAAAAGAATTGAGGGGGGAAATACTTGGAAGGAAGGTTTCTGGTTTTTAGTTTTAATAGGAGAAGAGTTAGACTAAAGGCTTTGAAAAGGCTGTTAGAGCAAAGTAGAGTTAAGCTCTCTTCTTGCAAGAGTTTAACTTCTGGAGCGGTGACAGTTATTCGGTGAAATGGCCACCAAAAGCATGCAAACAGCACTAGGCAGTGGTATTTCAGGCTCAGTTTTGGTAAGACGTGGTGAAGATTGGATCACAGTGTTTACAAGTCCACTAATCTTAATTAAGTGGAAAATCAGGGACATGGTTATGGAGGAGGATAGGAATTTCTTTAGCTCAGAGATGTTAAAAGTATCTTGAGCTTGTGTTCCAAATAAGAAGAAAAACAGTAGGGGAAAGGTTTTGTGTCCCAAGTGAACAAATAACTATCTCAAAAAGGATATGAGGAGTAAGTAGCGAGCCTTCAGGGAATGAAATGGAAAAGGGCTAATCACCAAGTAGAGTCAGATGCAAAAGTCAAAAGGGTAAAAATGAAAACAAATGGAAAATATTATTTGGTGATTAAATAGAGAGCAATGGAAAAATGGGACTTTGGAATGGGATAATGGAATAAACGCTGAGTATTCTCTCGGTGTTGCCCCCGAACCATGGGAATTCTTTGCCTCGTGCCGGTAGGAATGGGGATACGCTATGGGTGGTGGTAGAAGCAGAAGCACCTAGCAGGAAGGAGCTGTGGGAAGGGAATTACTGCAGCCAAGAGGAAAGCAGACCCCACAATGTTTGATGAGTTCAGATTGGGAGAGGGCAGTCTGGGAGGAGAGAGCAGATAATCTGAGAATTCTGAAAGAATGGGCATGTTGAATTGAAGGTGTAGGAACTCTTTTTTTGTTTTGAAACTGATAAAGGAGATTACAGTATTCTTGGAAAATGGCAGATGTAATATTAAACTGTTATTTGGCAGCTTAACTGATTGCTAATCAGTAAGTAATCTGCTAATCTGCTGCTGCTGGGCAGTAGTCAGAGACTGCATTTGACTGTGTGCAAAGGCAGTTTGAGTCTGACAGGGTTTGTTAACTGAAGTATGGACTCAGGTGAATGAGACTATAATGCTTTCAAAACAAAGTCTCGTTGGAAAAGAGTTTAGCTGCCCTTCTTCAACAAAGAAGGTGTCTCTTAGGTCAGAGACACCTAAGTGGCTTTGTACAGAACTAGTCTGCGTATGGTGTGGCCTGCGCAGAGAAGCCAACGAGCTATCTCAGACCCAAGCCAGTTCTTGCATAAAACACAAGCAGAATTTCTGAAAGAGGAGGAGGAATCCCAGGACACCTGCAGAATAGTCACTTGTGTGGCGAGAGAAGGAACATTAAAGAAGAGATTCAAAATTCTTTTCTAAGATACCCCTTTTGTTACTCAGCTGTTCCTTCAGAAGTACTAGTGTGCCTCTGTATTATGCTCCCCAATATATTGCATTCAGGAAAGGCTCAGTGCCACCCAGCTCAGACTGAGCATCATCTAGGCTTACTGGTCTTTCCACAATGCAAAAGGTTGCATCATTCCTTTGAGAATCAAAATTCACCAGGTTTTCTTCCCCTTTTCTGGGGTATCTGCCAGTTCCTGTTTCTGTCGCTATTGGGGAGTTAGTTGCACTTCTAGAGTGAGAGAAGGGAAAAGATGACCATCAGAGCAACTACCAGCTGACCTCCCTGTTACAAAAGTTACAGATTTATTTATTTATTTTTTACAGAGATGAATGGAAATTATGATAAAATGCAACATAAATTTACCAAAGATAGGTCATGTCAGATTAACTTGTGATTTTTCTTTCATATATTGTGATTTCTAGGTGAAAGTAATGCAGTAGATTTCACCTCTCTGGACTTCAGAAAACCATTTGATACAGTGCTGTGTGGAAAAGTGGTATATAAACTATAGAAGATTGGAGATTATTGGAAGAAATATAAGGCAGGTGAGAAACTAGTTAAAGGTAAATTTATTAGTTTGTTTAAAAAAGGTATTTGTGGGCCATAAAGAAATTGTTTGTAGACTTTTGTCAGGAGACAGATCTTATGTAGTATTTTAATGAACGTCTTTGCCACAAAAACTGGGAGTGCATATTAATTAAGCTCTGACATGGAATTGAAAGTACTAAGGAGGCTCAAGATATCTAGGAAAAGAGGGATGATGTTGAGGACTAGAAGAACAGATATAGGATAGAATTAAGAATAGGGTGAATTACAAAATCAGGCAGGCATGCACTTGGGGACTAGTGACAACACATTCTGCTATTAGCTGGAATGCATTCAGCTAGAAGCATCAAAAGAGGATTTTCTGGGAGTGCAAGTCCATATAACAGCTGCCAGTGTAACTTGCCTATGAAAAAGGCAGCCATAGTCCTTCAGTGAATTGGGAACACTTCCTAAAGGGGAAAGAAAGCATTCACACCATTGTAGAGAGTCTCAGTGAGACCTGTAGTATACTTCCTACATTTGTTTATGGTCACTTCTTTTTATTTTTTCAAGTTTTTGAATACAAGGGCTACTAGAACTATTGGACTAAAGCATATCTTGCTGTAAGAAAAAAGATCAGGAGAACTTGGTTTATTTAGCAAAGGAAAAGCAGAGAGGGTATATGCATGAGTATAAATATGCTGTGGGCAAATGTTGTGGAAAGAAAAGAATCCTTGAAGATGGACGTAAGAACAAGTGGAAATAACTTGCTGTGAATAAACTCACGCTGGAAATCAGAGGAAAATTAAATGCAGTAGGTGCTCGACTGGTCCCCTGTGACGTTAGGGAGAACCCGTTAAGGTTGTGAAAGAGTATTATGTGATCACTTCCGTTAGCAGAGTTTTGATCCAGGAGGTGCGTTCAAGACCTTTTTTCCGAATAATCCTTTCTAAGATCGTTCAGCCATTTTTCTAGAGCCACACTAAGAGTTTGAGCATAAAGAGAGTATGAGTACATTCTCTTTCCCAGGCCACTTGATGGAAGTAGACTTTTCTTTATTTTATTATCTTAATTATGCTAATATCTCCAAGCCTGGAGGTAATGTATATCTGTCTTCTGTGTAGGGCCATTGTCGGTGGGTAATATGGAGTTCCTGAAACAAAGAACATGCTCTACCTGCAAGATGGATACAATTTTTAGGTTGTAGAGAACCTTCAGTCAACTTCATACAGATTTGAAAAGCTCCTAATTTAGATCAATCAACAGCTGTGCATCTCTAGGAAAAAAATATACATCCAAGAACTTCCACAGCTTTATTACTTATCTTACTCTGCATCTTTATATCTTTATTTCATCTGTAGGAAATCAGCCTTTCTCGAGTTACTGACTCATATTTTCCTAGTCTCTAAGGCCTTTGTCTATGCCAGCTTGTCCAACACGGAAGATGGGGGGGGAAAAAAAGAAAGGAAAGAAATGACGAAGCCTTTGCTAGCTTGGTTCAATCATTCAAGTGACTTAAGAACAAAGTCAGCTGTTGCCTGCAGTCATTTCAGTGGGCTGAATGCAGCTTCTCTTGTGCTTAGG